CGGCCGGGGCGCCGATGTGGCCAGTCGGGTTGCCACTCGCCAGACGCGCGCGCTCGACGTCCTGCACACCCCGGCCCGGCTCGCCCGTCGCTCCGCGGCCGCCGCCACTCTCAGATCCCCCCCCGCCCCCGGCGCTGTCGGGGCCCTTCCTCGACGCCGTAGCCTCGCGTCACTTCCGGGGGAGGGGCCGAGCCCCGAAGCCAGCGTTGTGTGTCTGGTCCCCCGGGCTTGTGTTTGTTCCCCTAGGAGGCCGTCCGGTGCCCTCGCTCCGGGGCGGCCAGCTTCCAGGGACTTTCGCCCTTCCCCGCAGGACCAGAGTCGGGCCTCGGGGCTCCGCGGGTAGCTGCTTGGGGCGAGCGCGGCGGCAGCGGAATTGACGTGTGAGGGTGACGCCCTCCGGGGAGCCTCCACGGTCTCTTGATCGATCATTCTCGTTGACAAGCAGCCCCTCTGGTGGTGTGGGAAAAGCTTTCCGGCTTACCAACTTTGCTAGTTCCAGGACTTTAATTTTTTGTTTGTTGATTTATTTATTTTTGTTTATTGTTTGTTTTTGAGACAGCGTTTCAACGCGTAGCTCTTTGCTGGCCTGAACTCCCAGGAAGTCCGCCTGCCTCTACCTCCCGAGTGCTAGGAATACAGATGTGCGCCACCAAGCCTGGCCTAAGTGACTTCCCTGAAGAATCTAAGGCCCGGAGGCGGTGGTGGCGCATGCCTTTAAAACCAGCACTCAGGAGGCAGAGGCAGGTGATTCTCAGAGTTCAAGGTCAGCCTGGTCTACAGAGTGAGTTCCAGGACAGCCAAGGCCACACAGAGAAAACCTCGAAAAACGGAGGGAAAAAAATCTAAAACACCAGTGAATCGTCTGTAAAGTGACTGAGAGAACCTAATGTTAAAATTGTAACTACTAAAAAGGGGTGCAAAAATCACCGCCAAATTCACAAGTTTGCAATATGGTTCTCAGTATTTTCGAATTCTAAAGGCTGAGGCGTTTAAGAGTTTCAGGCTAGCCCCGGCCCCGCACTGAGACCGTGTCTCCCCAACCTACAAACAAATGAGTGTGTTTATTATCAATTTAGGCTTTTTGAGACTAAGCTTCTGTAGTTCAAACTGCCAAGAAATTGACTGTGCAACTCGGGTTAACCTTGAACTCTCAGCCACCCTGTGTCTGCGTCTCCAGTGCTAGAATGGTAAGCATAAGCTACCAAGTTCACACAAATTTGCTTTGTTTGTGGAAACAGGTTTCATAAAGTCTAACCCGAGGTTGACTTTGAACTCCTGACCCTGTTTCCACCACCTCCCAAGTGATGAAATTACAAGCTTTCAACACCATGCCCAGTTTCATACTATAATTTTTTAAAATATATCGATGTAATTTTTACGACATTTTTATTCTTTGAGAATTTCATACACACATACAATATATTTCAATCATATTCACCCTCTCTCTCCTCCCAGAAGCTCCATGTGCCCATCTCAACTTGATGACCTCTTTTTCCTGTTTGTTAATATCCCACTGAGTTCAGTTAGTGTTGTCCGTATATGCATGGGTGTGAGGCTGTCCATAGTCATCTACCAGGGATGCATCCCCAAAGAAAACTGACTCATTCTCCTAGCAGCAGCCATCAGGAGCCCATAGCTCTTCAGCTGGAGGCGGGGCTTCTGTTGCTGTTCATACCGGACTGTTGACGCCTGCTCCAGTACGGGTCTTTAACAGGCATCCATGGCTGCGGTGAATTCATGAGTGCCAGTGGTCATGTCCAGAAGATTACAAGCATCCCAGATCTCTGGCTTACAACCATTCCACTGCCTCTTTCTCAACGTTCCGTGAGCCTTGGGTGGTGGTGACCTGATAGAGATGCCCCATTTATGACTGAGCACTCCACAGACATTATTAGTTCTTTGCACGTTGGACAGTTGTGACTCTATAATCTGGTGTGCATGGCAAAAAGAAGCTTCTCTGATGATGACTGAGAGTTGCACTGTTGGTTTAATGTATTTCCAAGGCAGTCTGATACTATGTCCATTTAGCAAAATTGACTTAGAAGCAGATTCACCGCCAAGCCTATGAGCTCCCCAGCTGCTGGATCTTTGTCAAATTTACAGTAGCGGGCTGCTGAGTTACCTCCTGTGGAGTGGAACTTAAACCCAACCAGAAAGTAGTTGGTTGCTTCCATAATATTCACGGCACAATTGCACCCACTGGTATGTCTTGCCAATCCAGTTGTTACTGCTGCTCACAGGGTTCACCACTAGGTAAAACTGTTGATTACTTGTCTTCCCCAGAAACCTGCATAGCACCTTCTGGTATTATGAAAACTAGTCAACAAGGAGGAAACTTCCTGGCCAGTACCTGCCTAGGGAAGCCAGAAGAGGGTGTCAGATTCCAGATCCCCTGGAGCTGGAGTTACAGGCAGTTGTGAGCCACCCACATGGGTGCTGAGAACCCAGCGAGGTCCACTGGAAGAGCAATGCGCACTCTTAACCACTGAGCCATCTCTCCAGCACCTATAGCTATAATTCTTAAGGAACCAAGTCACACTTGGTGCAGGAAAGCACTTGAAACAGCAGCCAAAGGAATGGAGGGTCGTTAATAAACCATGGCTGTTGCCGGGCTGTGGTGGCGCACGCCTTTAATCCCAGCACTTGGGAGGCAGAGCCAGGTGGATCTCTGTGAGTTCGAGGCCAGCCTGAGCTACCAAGTGAGTTCCAGAAAAGGCGCAAAGCTACACAGAGAAACCCTGTCTCGAAAAACCAAAAAAATAAAAATAAACTGTGGCTTCTGAAAAACAGCTCTGAGGAAATAGATTGCGATCTCATATTTAACAGGTTGCCGGGCAGGTCAGTGTCTGCGTTACTGGTTTTCCTGGCTGGCTGCTGGCTGTGTTGCTTTCAATGAGCTGCTCAGCTTCTCTGATCTTTTTAGTTCCTACATTTTATCAAAAGATGAGAATATGCAGCATCACTGAAATGATTAGATGAAGAACATGATTTCTGGACGGTACAAAGTAGACACTCCGTAACGGTGATGTCATTCCTCTCTACCTGTTACTTCTACAATTGAACACACTGCATGACTGCAATTGTATCATCCCTTTGTAAGCTTTGGAAGATAACCATTACTTCCTGTGTCTCCAACCTTCCCCATAACACCTGGTAACTAAAATACACAGAGGTAACTAAGCCTGTATGACCAACTTAACCAAAAGCTGTTAGTTTTTCAAAACTAACTTTGGAACTGAATGTGGTGGCCCCTGCCTGTGAGCCCAGCACTCAGGAGGCAGAGGCAGGAGAACCACAGATTGGAGACCAGCCTGTTCTGTATAGTGAGTTCCAGACCTGCCAGGGCCACATAGGGAATCCCTGTCTCAAAACAGCCAAGGGCTGGAGAGATGGTTCAGAGGTTAAGAGCGCTGACTGCTCTTCCAGAGGTCCTGAGTTCAATTCCCAGCAACCACATGGCAGCTCACAAAGTCCAGTTTCAGGTGACCTGAAACTCCTAGGGTAAAACACTAATGCATATAAAATTAAAAAAAAAAAAAAAAAAAGCATATAAAATTAAAAAAAAAAAAAAAAAAGCCTACTTTGGGCATGCTAGGCATGTCTGTAACCCCAGAGGCGCAGGAGAAGGACTGCAGGACTGAGGCAACCCTGGGCTTCAGAGAGAGTCCTGGGCCAGGCTGAGGCAACCCTGGGCTTCAGAGAGAGTTCTGGGCCAGGACTGAGGCAACCCTGGGCTTCAGAGAGCATTCTGGGCCACCCTGGGCTACAACAAGACTTGCCTAAACAGACCTAAAAGTGAAAAAAAAAAGTTTTCCCAAAGGATGTAAAGATATTTTAATTCAGAAATATGTTTTTAAGTCTAGTGTGGTGGTACACAGTCATAAGATCAACTACTTGGGAACCTGAGGCAGGAGGATGACAATTTAAGAGGTTTGCCTAGGAAATTCAGTTGAGTCGCTGTCTCACAATAAATTTTCCCCAAAGGGAATGTAACTCAATGGTAGAGTACATGTTTCATGTGAGTGAAGCCCTGAGTTCTTTCCCTGGTTGTGTGTGTGTGTGTGTGTGTGTGTGTGTGTGTGTGTGTGTGTGT